CCTGTACCCCACCTCCAATGAATGGATTCCAAGACATAGCACTTCCAAAGACCCCTTTCACTAAGGCTCTGGGAAAAAAGTGTTTGAAGACCTCCCTGACATTTAGACTCTCTCTGAAGATGACTTTGCCTTCTACTATCGCCTGCGGGAACATAGTAAGACCCACACTAAACTTCAATTGATATGCAGTGCCAGATTCCTCCAGGGGAAATTATCATTCTGTTCATAATAAGAGCCACAACAAGCACCTGGAAAATGACTTTATTATATTCTCTGCTTCAATAAAAGTTTCCTATGACCCATTGGAAACACACATGGTGCACGGAGCGTAATTGTGATGAAATGAAAACTATATTATGCATATGATAGAATGCTTATTTGATGGTGGGCCGTGCAAGGATGCACATCTGCTCGGATGTGCTTGATTGGCAGGTGTGTTAAGCAGCGCTGTAGCCTTGGATGGAGGTGCTCTGAGACCCTGCTTTCCTGAAGTCATTATCCAAATATGTTCTGTTTTTCAAACAAATGAATGGCACAAAAATCAAAGTATCAAAAATGTATTGCCCTTCATAATGGAATTCCCTCTGAGCAAGGACACGTAACAATGGACCATTCTCGGCTTCCTGTCCTTTCCCTCTCTATATGCCAATGGATGTGACCTCCACAGCTTTAACAATGGGGCATCCAGCAACATAAGCACTTGGCGCATCGCCACAGCCACTACGTGCAGTAAGGTGGCTTTCAGCCTTGTTGTTATATTTAAGGGTGACATCCTAGCCTGTCGGCCTCTGCCATTGTCTTCGCCGTGATTATTTTCTACTGTTGTTTAGCCCCAGTTGTGGCTCTTTGATGAAAAGGTCGCCACTCAATTGGAAAACAGTCATTAAAATGCGGTGGGTACTATTCACCAGTGTTCATGGGGGAACCAGCTCAACTGAGCTGGTTAATCAAAAGTTAATTATATAATTTTCATGCAGATGAGGGAAACATTCAAATGAATCCCAACTCTACAATCATTACAAAAAATAAATAAAGAAATAATTCTAAAATGCTATAAAATGTTCAGGGACCAGGAGGCTGTAAACAATATGAAGTTTAATTTGAGGTAAACAAAGTGAATATCCACCAGGGGGTCTGGGAAGGAGAAAGTGAGGTTAAATCAAATTTGGAAACATAGATACCAGCAGGTTTTGTTGTCCTGATATACGTGCAATTAGGCAGGTCCTTGATGAGGACACTGGGAGGGAGAAAGTTGGCTTTCACTGCGAATGCTCTGGGATTATTTAAAGGGAATTTATGGGATTTCATGCTTTATCTGTAAACATTAATTATTCTCATACAAGTAAACCAAATTGAATTAAAACCATATTTTAGGGAATGTTATACGAACATAATTATCTTTTATGAGCGTGTTGCAAAATTATTGAAAACTCCATAACGAAAAGTGTAAAGTCAATTAAATCAATTCCAGGAAGTCTCACTCGCAACATTCAAAAGACGATGTGCCTGACGACGTCGTCTTCGGAAACTTTCTGAAAGAAGGTGAAGTAGAATAAAAACACTTTTCATAAAGATTCTAAAGTCTCCGCTCATCAAAGGAAATGATTGTGTTATGCAAATTAAAAGCATGAATATTAAACCAACGATGTGAAGTTTCACAAATGAACAAGCATTGTTCTGAAAGTGCAATGGAATGTGTTTTAATTTCTCTTTAATTCTATGTGCTTTATAATGTTCACCTTTTCCCAGTTGTGCCAGCGGGTTTGGGTTCATTGGTGTGCATTACAACCACGCTCTAACAATGCGGGGCCTCCCCGGTGTCAGCACAGTTCATGAATCCCGGCCCCTTATGCACCAGGCGATTAGTATGGTGCTCTGTCTGTGGGGCTTTGCCAGAAAATGAGTTCTCTTTAAAACATATGCCCCCTGCTGATTCTTTTCCTTTCCTGATATGAAATTCCAATTTTTATAATGAACACCAATTTCCTTTTACAGAGAGGGAAGAGAAAGTTCTGCACTTTGGCTGCTTTGGATGACTGCAGTTATCCGAAATTAGAGGAAAGCTGCTGTGGACATCAGACATTTAGATGAGTGTCTTTCATTTTGTGGGTTAATCAACATTCAGGTGGCAGAACAAAAAAAAAAAAATCAGCCGGTGTAATTTTCCAAATCACATATGCACATGACCGGTGTGGCAGAAAATGGAATTACCAAAACTGTAACAAATTCAATTAAGTCATTGATTTCTAATAAATTGGCTTAATCACCAGCTGTTGTCATGCTAAGATTGTTGTGTCACGAGTTTGTCATGCTTGTCGGTCGTGGCTGCTTTACAAAGACAATTAAATCAATTTAAAGTCCTTAAAAACGTCATTTCACACGTATGAAACATCGTTTTTCTTCTAATGACTAGATCTAGAAGAAGAGACCAATCAATCAGATCAGATTAGACAAAACATTTAATAATTTCATTAGATTTCAAAACCTTTATTACAAACTAACACTGATGAAAATGCTACAGACATTTAATAAATATCTGTGTAATAATTTATTGAAGTCAGCATCTTACATTCCAACCCATCACAATGTAAATGCAGTCTGTTTCTTCCTTCTCTTTAATTATTATGGAACCTTTTCTTTCGGTCGAAATGCCTGGAACCGTCATCAATCTGAGGAAATTAAATCTCTGTTAACAGTTTGAACTGCTGCTTGAATATTTAATCTCACAAATGTTTAAATTTTCATTTATTTATATATATATATATATACGATATCAAATGTGTCGCAGCACATTAGCAGCACATCTGGCAGCATTCAAAGAGATACAATTACGCATGCACATATTCAATCATGCAAAAAAGGGGAAAAATAAAAACAGTCATTGAGCAGTTTGTATATTGTCATTGCTGCTTTGGAGCACGGTTGCACACAGTGGTGTAGTGTACATTAATATTGTACAATTGAAGTAGACATTGGTGATAAATTATGTATAATAAGCACTTACTACATTGTATGGTCGAAGTCTCTCTAGGGTTTGGGCACTCGCCTCCTCAGGAAGAGACACCACTCCGCCTGTGCCCATCATCTGAACACAATAAAACACATTTTACCCAGAATGATGTGAAAACAATGCAACAAAACATGTAGAAAAAGAAAGAAAAGTCCAGTTGGGTAAAACTGTGCAGGTCAATTTTGCATTAAAAGGCAGCACATATCCTGGAATGCTTGACACCTCCACTTACAATAGGAAAGAACACACTCACCCGGATGGTCGCCTCCAGCTCCCCCACACTCCTCTTCCCACCTGGAAGCCATCCATAGGACCAGTGCTGGGACAGGGCGACCTGAACCACCAACGTCAACAACAACACCTGCACCACCACTCTGCTGCTCGCTTCCATCAGAGCTGCAGAGGAAGTTACATTTAGTAATAATCTCCTCACGCTACATCTCGCCGAGCAGAGGTTATAAAGCATCAGCCAACATCAGTAAACAGCATTTCAGACAGTAATTAATAAGAAATGTAATTGTAACTTAATAAGCATTGAACTAAACTTCACTGAGGACTCACTCACCTCTGTGTTTGCCTTGTTAGCATGTGGTGCATTAGCCAGAGAGGGGTTTTATAGCTGTAGTACAAGGCTGCTGTCAGGATTATAATCCCCACTATGCAGGTGTGACACATTTACTGACTAATGGGACACAAAATACCACTAATGGAGGAGGCTAAGTGCTCAGACATGCTGACAACAACCAGGGCTCAAACAGCATTAAATATATATATATATATATATATATATATAATCTTTGTATTGAATGCATGTGTGTGGAGGTTGACAAAAAAAAGACAGCATTAAGATGGAATCTGACGTTTCTCTTCATCTATTATTTATTGGTATCAGCTCTTAGCAAACAAACAGTAGTTCAAACCCACACAGAGTCGAAAGGCAGAAACATCATTGAAACAAGATGCTTGTGCATTTATGTTCCATCGGCTGCAAGGCCTCGCTGTCATCATATCCCCGTTTCTTATTCTTTCAGCATGACGGTAAATTAAAAAGGAGTCGACAATGCAGTAAACCTTAGAGATGATTAATGACCACAACAGGAATTTATGTACACTAAATAAACCAAATGATCAGTGTGTCATAAACCCATTTTATGACTATTCGTAATAATGGCAGTACAAACACAGTAGAAAGTTATTCACCCAAACTTCAGGCTTTCGCGCTTACTGTTCTACAAAGAAGTAAGCAGAAGCCTTGCAAAAATATATGCTTTTGATTTTGCAGAAATGTTTGGTCTTCTGTGTTTAAATATGAAACTAAGACTAACTATCATAGTCAAAATATGTCCAAATGCCTGTGCATGCATATTTCATATTTTGGTGGAGCACTAGTTCTTGATTTCAATACTTTTTCACTGTCCCAGACATTTTTCATCTCCGTCCTTTTCATCTCCGTCCCTGTGGACGAACAAGGTTCAGCTGCATCAATTATCAACAACTTCATTTACACCCAGAATCCTACACTCATCTGCAAGCTAAACTAAAACTATGGTACATTTTCTTTCAATATAATATTCTGAGGAGTGAATTTACAAACAATGAAATGATCCCCACATGTGAGACCACATTCAAAAACAATTACACCTTCAAAATTGTATCTATGATATTTCAATTCAACATAAACATCTTGCTTATCATTATTAAAATTGTGTCACTTGGTGACAAGTATTTCATGATTAGAGCTGTTTTCTAATCAATATGGCACTGCTGTATGCAACATGCAAGCTTGTTAATCTATATATATATATATATATATATGCATATATATATACATGATATTTTTGTAAGCATGGATTTCATACTTGGCTGCAGAACATTTGTAAGAATGACACAATTGGATTCATGTCATAACGGATCATTTTCTGCCTGTTCCTATGTGGGCTAATTGCATTTTGCAGCGTCAGGCACCAATCCACTAAGTAATATTGCCACAGGCAAAAAAAAAAAAGACAAGAAAGTTGTTGAAGTTGAATAAAATCACAACAGGCAGCAGCTGTTAAGTTATTCACAGACAGAAGTGAGGTTTAACAGAATGCAATATATCACGACTTCTTTGTTTTTGTTAGAGCTAAAAGTAAATCATAAATATATCCACACATGTCAGACAGGATATCCTTCAGCATTAATCAGTTCATCCGACTTATCAAACACAAAATTTATTCTCCTCATGGCAATCCAATATTTTCAGTGGGCATAAAATACAAGTAATAATAAGTCATGTAAACCAAAGGCATTGTGGTCAATAATAAAGAAGAAATAAATATCATATTTTTCAACACATCAACACATTAGGAAGCAAATAATACATTAGTATATTCAATTGTGTATTGTGTTTATAAACAAAGCACAATTGAGTATTTCCTCTGTTTCCTCTTAACACTTTATTGACCCTAACAACGTTGCATTTACACTGAATAAAATTATTCATTTTTATTTTTTACACTATGATACTTGAAGGTCAAACATTCCTGAAGGAGACACCTGAAGCGCAGATGTTTTCCATTACTTTACAGTATTGTACAACAATTTTTACATCTGTGCAAAATGTAAAAAAAATCTTGCTGTAGAAAACAACATTCAGAAAAAAATTGCATAAGTTAGTCCAACCAAATTATACATTAAACTAAATCTGACAGCTGTTATTTAAAATTGGCGTAGTCTGAGAAAATGTCAACAAAATCCTGAACCACTCGGTAGCAGAAGTCGTATTGCTCCTGGAAGAGAAAGTGAAAAGGAAAAGTGTTAGTGTGCGAAAAATGGTTCCAAACAACACATATGTGGATAAGCAGACAGTTTTGGCGCAGCACGTTTGATATTAAGCTGTTTTTCACCTACCACAGTCTGAACCATGTGTGGTCTCTGCATGCGTAAACTCTTGACTGTCTGAAAAACGTCCAGGAGGCCTTCAGCCTTCACCCTTTCCAGAATGGTACTGAGGGCGATGAAGGTGCCGGTCCGACCTGCACCGGCACTGAAATACGACAAAACCATCAGCAATAAAACACAACATTCTCCTCCTGGAAGTAACTTTGACAATGATGAGATTTGTTGCAGAACAAAATGTAGAAAAGCAGGAAAAATACAATTCTAACCAAATTTCTTAAACAATTATGCTTCAATTAAACTCTTGCAATCCGAGCAGTGAATTCTTTTTCCATTCAAATTAAAAAGTTTGCCAGAGAAAAGGTGACCTTTGGGTAATAGTGCTAATAATCATCCCCACTTAAAGAGAGGCTAATCCAAACGCTAACACTAATCAGTTTGGAAGCTCTGTGTTTGACTGAGTCAATGTTTACAATGATGGCGGGATGAAGAAAGAAAGACAGGGAGAGAGAGAGAGCAAGAGCGATTCGGAGGAGAAGTGTAGAGAGACGTTGGGGATTGCAGCGGGTTAGCCCTGCTCCCGAGGGGCGGAGAAAAAGCTTTAAAAAGCCCCTCTTAGACAAGTGGTGATGAAGGAATAGAAGAGAGTGATGACACCATTTCCTGTCGTTAGCTCATCTTATCAGATTAATCATAGTGGGAGTCAGAGGAGATTTCACTTTGAGAGGTTTTAATTGACTGTGAATCAGTGGATTGGATCAATCCCACAGGGGCATGCTGCTTTAGAATCACTTCACCTGAAGCTAGGTTCTGATCAAAGCTTTCACTGCTAAGTCTTTATAAGGGATCACATAAATGGTTTAGGCAGAGAACACCAGGTCTACTGAGGCAGAATGTGGAATTTATTGTTACAGACATTTGTAGAAAAGAAAAATGTGTCCGGAAAAACTGCTACTCCTTCCAATATCACTCCATTCCAGCGATCGGGTGAGAAACGCACAGTGAGAATGAAAGGTGAGTGGACAAATCTAAAATGTAACGGTCTGTATATAAAGTGTGTCTGAAGCTGCAGGATTGTCAAAGTGAGGCTCCTCACCTGCAGTGCACGATTATGGGGCGGTTTCCAGACTGCTGCTGCTGCCTCTGCACAGCCGCGATGATGTCAATCATCCCTCGTCCCTCGGCTGGTATCCCGATCTCAGGCCATCCGTGGAAGTGGAAGTGTCGCACATGCTGTGACCTCTTTTCCTGGTGACATAGAGAACTTACAGTTATTTACATCCAGACATTTTAAAATGCTTCATCTGCAATAATTTATATGAATTAAAAATGTGTGTGTCGATGATTTTTTTAATTGTTGAAATGAAACGTTACGCACTGGTCTGTAGGTGAGCACCATGTCTTTGAGTGTGAAGGTTTCACACTGTGTATCAGCAGTCAGCTCCACAGCATAATCTCCAAATGTCACACTGCCCTCTGATGGCCAATACTGGAAGCACTTTTCCTGGTAGATGGAAGGGGTCAGATGAAAAAACACTTGGGTTCATTTGAGGGATTTATAACCTTTATTTTTTATATTTTCACAACAAAAACTATATAAAACAACGACATATATCCAAGGAAGTGAAGCGATGGGATACAAGAAGATGCTGTTTAAATGCCTTTACTTTTGCACGAGTACCACACTGTACCTGCTCCCTCTCTTTGAGTTCGGTGAGCGTAACGATTGAATGGCACCTCCACTCCCACACCATCCTCCAGAAGTCCTCCACTGTGTGAGACAAGGGGCCCTGGGTTGCGATAAAATAGTCCTTCTGCCTGTAGCCCTGGAGGGCAGATCATCCAGTAAACAAGACTTGAGAGTGCGGCAAACATAATATTTTGCATTGTTTGTAAAGGCAACAATGAGCTTTATATAAACACTTCTATGGGAAAATCTATACAGGAGGTCGTGGGGGAGTGCTTACATCAATAAAGGAGGCATTGATGTAGTCGGTGAACTCCTGTCCTCTTTTCACTGAGAGTATTACTCGGTTGAAATCATCTGCAAAAAGAAAAAAAAAAAGACTTTCCGCAAGTGATTCCTAATAAAATCAAAGTTTGAGGAGGCTGATGGTGGAAAAATCTTCTTGGTGAAACTTCAACCTCAATAAGTTTTCACTGTACAAAGTTGTACCCAAGCTGTTACCCCCTCATCTCGCAACTTTAAGTCTAGATACAAGATTTCAATGTCACTGATCACACAGACACGGACTGATTAGCCAGATATCTGTGTACGGCATCCGCGAAATCACCAGCAGCGTGATACTTTGATGTTGCTCGGATGTGATGTATTATGAAAGTGTTCGGCGTTTCAGAGTGATGCTTACACGGGATGATTTGAAGCACACGGTTCTTCTTCATGTTGGCGGGGAGGTTCCCAGTTCTCATGTTCTCCTTCATTATGCGAACGTTGGTCAGCTTCTGGGGGGGGGGAAGAACACGAGATGAATGACATGATCAAAAGTTTATTTTCTTCTGTGCTGGGGAGAGACTTTTGATGCCAAGGCAGAAAAATAAAAATGCTAACAAGTAAAAAAGACAGACGCTGGACAAAAACATGTCCTATTGGTTGAGAAGGAGAAGAAGAAGAAGAGGCATTTGGGGATAATTTCAGTCAGTGTTTAGGGAACTGTGAGGAACAAAAATGAGAAATTTTAACCAAGCTACAATAAATTCTACGTGGCAGATGGTGGT